AACACTGGATCAATAAGAGATGATCCTTACTGGACCTCTAGGAAGAACAGTTTAGAACTGATAGAGCTATCCAGTATAAATAAAGTTAGTTTAGTTCAGGTTTCCTCCTGTAGTAACACTGGATCAATAAGAGATAATCCTTTCTGGACCTCTGGCAAGAACAGTTTAGAATTGATAGAGCCAGTATAAATAAAGCTAATCTACTTTAACCACGTTTATTCACTTACAATTTGTAAAGATCTTAGAACAAAGTGGACCTTGATTTACTGCGTTATAAATTTGTGATTGTGGATCTCCGAAGAACCACAAAGTTCCATTTTTTCTTATGGCACGTTTACGATACTTCACCTTTTTGGGCCTGTCTGAGAAATAGAAATTTGTACATGTAAGAGGTTTATCATATTATTCATTTCAATATCGACATTGCTATTATACTCTGTCTAACACCACACAACTTTTGGCACGGCCGTACACAAGATTTCTCCAGCCATTAACTTCACGACGAAGGGCCTTCGCTCGAAACGTCGAAGTTCTCCTTGTATTTTTCATTTAGTTGTATCCCTATCCATCCGAAGCTTTCTTATTATTGCCACTACCTAGCTACACTGGCATAGACCTTTCAAAATTACTTCGGAAATATTTGAAAATTTCGACATTTCTTCAAATGTTTTCCTGTGGGACATGGCTGGAAAATGATCATGTTTTGTGATTGGCTATCAGAAACAAAAATGATCATTGTTCGTGACTCGTTCTTTAGAAAGACGATTTCTATAGTTTTATTGTCTTTCATTGTTATAATCAACCAACCGCGAGCCTGGATAGTATAGGTAGACGATGACTCTTTCCTCAAAGAGAAAGTGTTTGGGGTATACCTTTACACGCTGCGATTTGTTGGGCTCGCTGTATGTAAATAACCTGTCGTGAGTACTCGCGTCAGCGCCTTGCGATTAACAAAATCGTGAGAAAAATCTGTAGCAAAACACAGATTTTTCTCACGATTCAACGATTTTTCTTCCGTTGTAAAGTTGTTGAAAACTTTTCGCACGCAGAAAACTATAATATAAACAGACAAAAGAGCGGACAGTTTCAATTGAACGTTTAAATCGCTAACTGTCGAAGAAGGGGCAACGATTATTTACCAAAATCGGCCCGACAAATCGCAGCGTGTAAACGTAGCTTTAGATAAAGAAAGTGTTTAGATAAAGAAAGTGAATGTTACCATCAATTTTGATGTAAGGTCTCCACTTCAAGTAACCTCTGACATTCTCCCAAGTGCCCAAGCCATTCCAAACAAAGCTGCAACCTCGACAACAGCCGTAACAAATGTGATACTGAAACAACGCGCTCGTGCCGTAACAATCACGGAATTTCATGTGGTATTGGAGTCCTATAAGAATTGAATGAAATATAAATAATGTTCAGTAGACAATTCCCATTATAGACTAATTTTAAAACTAGGCAAGGAGATGCAAATAAATCACCACCGCTAGAAAGAGTATACTAAAATTAATAAAATTACAAAGTTTGGTTGCGAAATGTTGTAAAATGCGGAAAATGTAGCCTTGCAAAGTTTGCAAATTTTGTATACTTTTGTATTGCGTGCGGAAATTGCTACCATTTCCGGTCCAAACGCGGTAGCAATTTCCGCACGCAATACAAAAGTATACAAATTTTGCGAATTTGCAAAGCCATATTTTCCGCATTTTACAACATTTCGCAACCAAACTTTGTAATTTTACTAATTTTAGTATGCTCTTTCTAGCTGTGGTGATTTATTTGCATCTCTTTGCCTAGTTTTAAAATTAGTCTACAATGGGAATTCTCAGTGTTGACACTGGAATGATCCGTAACACGGATGAATATTTACTTACGGTGAAGAAGAGAATCGCCTTTTCCTTTCAGAATTTCAACACTATATTTCATCTTGCCTGAAAATCGAAAACAAAAACCACTTTAGTTTCCGTAGTTTGTGTTTGAACTGAACCGACGTAAAAATCTCGCAACTTGTCCGCAACAAGATGTGCAATGCTGTTATTTTATCAAGTTGCTACAAGCTTGTCACTCACAACTTGTCGACAAATTGTTGAATTGCAGGACGATAACAAGTTGTTGGAACAACTTGTAACAAGTGTGTTGAGCTCAACAACCTTGTAGCAAGTTGTCAACAAGCTGGGAACAAGCAGTGCGAACACATCCTGTTGACAAGTTGTTAGAACAGCATTGCTACAAGTCTGCTGCAGGTTTGTTACAACTTGTGCGTTTTTACGTGTGTAATTCAGAGCTAAACAACGACACTTTACTATCGACCTACCTAAACTTTTATGCGTTTCCGGTGGTTTCTTTATTCCAATACACGCAGTATAAATAAGGTTCGCATAAAGTTTATACTCTCCAGGTACCACAGGTAAGAATACAACCTCATAGGTACCATTCCCAAGATCAAATACACTGGCAGTGAGAACAGATGGTCCTTTTAAATACACCTGCCAGCCATCGCCACCACTAGTGCGATAAAAACCAGTAGCATTCCTAGTCTTAATAAATACTCGACTAAAATCACCGCTAACTTGAAGAATCTGCCCAGATATAGAACTGGCTTTCACGTCAGTTCTTTGGTAAGGATCTTGGTTTTTACACTTGTTCTCTGAGCATTTCTTACAGGAGCCCAACAGTTCATCGACGTCTAACTGGGCACGTTGTACTCTAGCCCACGTTCGTAAGAAGTTAGCTTCGTCGTTGTTCATGAGCAGCAAGCTCCATGTTGAGATGTCCATCTTTGGGAAAGATCTGAGCAAGAATATTATGATCGCAATCATCGATATCACATAGATACGTTTGCGGTTCTTCATTGGGTTATGTGTTGTGGTTCTTGGGTTAGCTTGGGTTACCCCTCTTAGGTCTGCTGGATTTCTTGTGGTACCTTGGTTATATTTGCCTAACCAGGTTACCTTTGGTTACCTTCGGTTATATCTTGGGAGTATGGTGCTATAGGATAAGTTGAATCTTTGGAATTCGTGTCTTGAAATACTTCGTGATTGCTTGGCACAGAATTTTGGATTTGATGAAATTTGATATTTTGCTTTGTCTTCAGATGTCTTGAGATTCTGGTTACTCTTTGGCGGAGATGCTGTGGTATGTTGGAAATGAGTTGTTATCTTGCGAAAATTATGGTATCTAAATTATCCCATTTGACATTTTATTCAACCATCAACAGCTGCACCAATCTTTGGTTGTTCTATTGCATCGACACTAACTTCCAAACCTAAATGATTGTGAAATTTTATTGAATGTATGGTGGATACCCAGCCCAGACCTATAGGGCTTTTATTTGGCAGGTGGGAGTGGATTTGCAGGCTAATTGCCCTTCTTTCGCTCCGCCTCCAAATTGCCAAGCGGTCTTCTCGCGTGTGAAAAAGCGCTGGAGTTACAGATTGCGATTTACGGCTGACCGCAAACCGCGTCAAAATTCAAATTGTATTTGGAGGTAAGTTTAATTTTAATGCACAAATTGTCCTAACTCGAATAGCTAACAGTTGACCTCAAAATGCGATGTGAAGACGCGCCTTGATTTGAAGTTTGCGGTTGGCGGTCTGCCGTGAAACGTCAAAATGTAACTCTCTAGTGACGTCATTTACCAAAAAGATACTGGGGTCAAAACGAAATTGAAAAAATGGCCGACCAAATTTGAAAGTTTCCGATCAATTTTCATTTTGGTCGGACATTTTTTCCAGTCGATTTTTGAACGTATATGGATGTCTTTATGAACTCTGGATGTCTAGGAAGAGTCGTCTCTTATTGATCCAGTGTTACTACAGGAGGAAACCTAAACTAAACTAACTTTATTTATACTGGATAGCTCTATCAGTTCTAAACTGTTCTTCTTAGAGGTCCAGTAAGGATCATCTCTTATTGATCCAGTGTTACTACAGGAAGAAACCTAAACTAAACTAACTTTATTTATACTGGATAGCTCTATCAGTTCTAAACTGTTCTTCCTAGAGGTCCAGTAAGGATCATCTCTTATTGATCCAGTGTTATTTATTTATTTATTTATTATGCTTTGCCAATTTCACACAATCATATCTGCACAAATACACACACAAGAATATACAAACTATCAATCAATCAATCAATAGTATTTATACTGGATAGCTCTATCAGTTCTAAACTGTTCTTCCTAGAGGTCCAGTAAGGATCATCTCTTATTGATCCAGTGTTACTACAGGAGGAAACCTAAACTAACTTTATTTATGCTGGATAGCTCTATCAGTTCTAAACTGTTCTTCCTAGAGGTCCAGTAAGGATCATCTCTTATTGATCCAGTGTTACTACAGGAGGAAACCTAAACTAAACTAACTTTATTTATACTGGATAGCTCTATCAGTTCTAAACTGTTCTCCCCAGAGGGCAGAGGTCCATTACAACAAGACGCTATCATATCTATGGATACTATACGATCACATGATTACACCAAATCGTGTGGGGCGAATTCCGTGATACAATAAACAGTACATGACACAGACAGCACGATACAACTATGGCCAAATAGACAAATGCAGTGGGCGTAAAGAATTCAAGTGAAGAGCAAATTCTAGCCGGTATTTTAAGAATTTCAGCTGCGCGTTAAATTCTATACTAAAAGTCTATAGACTATGATTATAAATTCTATTGTTAAGAATTCCATCAAAACATTGAAGATTCTGCGATAAGTCTGGTGTTTTTTTTCTTCTTTCAATATTAACCATGTGTTAGTGGATGTTTTTTTACTTCTCCTCAGATTAGCAAAAGGCTAACACCGTGGAAAAAAAAGGCATTATCTGAGAGTTTAGTGTTTAATTAACGTCTGTCCGCCTGAATACTCAATAGGGAACAATTTAAATAACCAAAGTAAGCAAGGGTCCAAGCACTTGGAGATGTTTGCAAAAACACCGCATCACCGCATCACGCAGACTATATAATCTTATAGGAAGCATGATTCACAACTTGACTTGTAGTTCTCTTTAGTTTCAAATCTACGATATATGCTACAGTTGGACTAGGACACTACACTAAAACGAACATAAACAATTGATGAGAATTACTTGCATACACAATGGCGTACGTGACCTTTATATAGTTTTGTTTAAGCTTTCCAATAATGTAGGTTACATTTGCCTAAAAATGATTTCAAAATTTGAACATTCTGTCGACAATGGTTTGTCTGTAGCAGTGTGCTGTTGTGGCAATAATAAGAAATCTTAGGTTGAAGGGATGCAACTACTAGCTGAAATATACAAGTAGCTAGAACTTCGACATTTCGAAGGTCCTTCGCTCAAAACATAAAAGTTCTCGTTGTATTTAGTTTCAGGCAGATGGTTCCCTATCAATCCAAAGCTTTAGTTCTGAAGCATTTTAACGTTCGTTTACACTTTGTGTCACTTATGCCTGAGTGATGAAATGCTTTCGTTTATGTCGTAGTTAAAATACTCAGAACCGTCGGCACTTGGCAAAATCGATAGAAATGGCATGGAATTGCATTTTCGAACAAGAAAACAATTGTGGCCTTCTTGTTGACTACGAATTTGGTGAAACACAGCAAGACATGCAGAGATAAGCGAGTCGATACGAAAAC